CTCATTTTTCAGACGTTCCCTGCAACCCATTTTTGAAAAGGATGTCAAACTAAGAGCACAGAAGAAGCAGCCGTGCGGCTCATTTTTTGTAATACGAGGTCACGTCCTCAACGACTTCTTTCAATCTCTCTCTCCGGAAGGATTTCCTATTCTGATCGTCTTCACGATTATCGACACAGAATCCCTCCTCATTTTCAATAGCTATCCTGTCTGGAAAATTCACTAATGATACACGTGACCCGAGTAAACGAACTCGAACCCGTCGCCAATTTTTTCTTCCCAGCGCCGCACAAAATCCGTGACTTGAGTGATTCAATCGTTTCGGCCCATTTGGATTCAAGGTTAATGACTACAATAACACCACTAATGACCAGAGCCTCGAAACCCACCCCGTAACCTAAGGTCGCTCATTCGAAGGATAAAATCGCGCGAGAGTAAAAGAAATAAAAGAAAACAGGGAATTCTTCCGGTGAAACGAGTTCTGCGCTGTACAGGAACTTTATTGATCGTCGCCAATCGCTTACAATTTATCTACCTTTTAAAAGAATACCAGGGTCTCTTCTTTCGAATCGCCTTGTTCGGGAACTGAAATGCCTTCGCAAGGACACAAAGATAAGATCTCAACCTGAAGGTCTCTTCAATAGCCGTCCCTAAAAGGACAAACGCCGGGAGAATTTCTTCTTTTCTAATCGAGATAAGAATCGAACAGAGCCTTCTCCTGAATAGCGAAGCTCCTGCACTTTTTTATTTATTTTTTGGTCACAAGCCACCTGCATTGATTTTCTTTTTTTTTTTGCTTGTATCGCAAGCATCCTGCAATGGCCACGAAAAACCTGAAACACCAGGGTTGAGAATTCCGACACCAAGCCCGGGTTGTGGCCTTTTAAAAAAGTGCGTTTCATCCAAGGATAAAAGCCGATCAAAACCAACTAGCATTCACCGACACACAAGAGGCCCTCATAAAAATGGGAGCCGAGAATACAGCCAGTAAAAAAGTTTTTGTCTCAGAGCCGTGAACTTTTCGAACTTCATTCGAGATCGTCATATTCATAATCCTTGAAATTCCAATTAGAGAGAAAAAATATATACGAGGTTGCCGGAAGTATAAAACTCAGCAGAAAATCCCGCTGGTCAAGAAATGCGGCAACCAAAAAAAAAAAGCTGCAGAATAACCGTACATTGTTGGACTGATTTCAAATTACAGCATATAAAATTGCAACACAGTATTCAAGAAAAAAATATACATGAACTTCTTTCGCGACACAATCGGTTGTTTCTTGTTATTCCGTGCATGAGTTTCTTGACAATTTTCTTGGTTTCATCAAGGAAGAAATGGAAATATATTTCGAAGCTTAAAAATATTACATGACTTACTCGAATTATTCCGAGTATAAATTTATAATTGATCTGTTTCTAAAAGCTGTTATGAATAACTGAAGGTTCTGTCGTCCAAAAATCGTTCTTTCCAGAGAATATCTGCGGGTTACAAAACTTTGATCTTTCAACTGCGTTGAACACTTTGAACGCGTCTCGGGTCAGAAGGCAAAGTTTCAACTGTCAAAAAGACTTCTGAATAAATAATCCGAGTCCATGTGATTCGACTGAACCAGTCATACATGTAATTTTCAGTTTAGATGCGCAAGCGTTGAGGCAACAATTTTCAATTAAAGTTTTGAGTGAGCTTAAAATGGCTTCTCTGAAAAAAGAAAACATTCGCAGGCAAAATGATTCGCAGTTTCAAGGTGCTCAACGTTAATGTTTCGTCTGATCCGTGGGAGTTTCCTATATATTGATGGAAAGCATCCTTTAAAAAACAACCGCAATCCTCATCTGAAAGAAGTTTAACGCGCAGAAATTTGCAGCAACAAAAAAAAAAGCTGCAAGAAATGAGTGCGTTTATATGATTGCGAAACACGCATAGCTCAAGTCATGGGCGTGACTTCCTTCGGTTCGCCGACAAGGCGAGAATCCCAAAGAAAATCTCCATTGCCTAGCATTCCACAAAACTGCTTTTCGCATCACGACTGCAACGAAACTCGTGACTCGGATCATCTTACTTCAGCGTTCGAATAAAAAGAAATGTCCCTAGTTTCATCTTTATTCAGACGACGAACGAGTGTAGATGTGAGCAAATCCACGTACTTCATGCATCGAGATTCTCAGCTCTTGAACATATATGCGTCAAAAGAAAGCCAAGCGGATAATAACTCGTGTTCATTTTTTTTGTCAGGAGTTAAAATCGACAAATTTGCGAAAATGTTTTCCGACTTTCTTTTCTTGGGCAGAATTCGTGATATATTTTCGATCACAATGGTTCTAAATCCCGAAGACACCTTCTGAAAAGAATAACAATCGGGAGTGAGTGGACAACAGGAGCTTCCAGTTATTCATAAAAATAATTGTAGAAACAGGTGAATTATGAATTTATATTCTGAACAATTGGAGCATTTTATGAAATATTTTCCAAGCTTCAAAATCCTTCTGAGACACCAGGAAAAATGACCAGAACCTCACACACATAAACAAAAAATGCATCCGATTGGTTGCACCGCGTAAGAAGTTCAAAAATAGTTCATACTGTGCTTGAATACTGAAATGCCTCTTTAATAGTGTATTTGAAATCAGTCCAACTATGAACACTAAAGTCATTCCGCAGTTTTTTTTTTTTTTTTTTTTTTTTAGATAACAAGCTACGTTTTTGTACCAGCGGCATTTTCTCTCGCGTCCACTTGATAATTATTCCTACACTTGAAATTTTAGTTTCACGAAAATCAACTTCAAACACTTGGTGCTTTAATTGTTGCTCAGTGATTCCTTTGTGCTGTGATTTCAATCATTCTTAGAAATAAAACGGATGTTACTTCATTATTCATGCAATTGCGAGTACCGGACGTCGGGATTTTTTTGCAAAACAATTCTTCAAATAAACTTAATCCAGCTTTAAAAAAAGTCATGAAAACATCGCGATGTCCATGATATTTTCCTAAATTCAAATCTCAGAAAATAATTTTTTACTTAATGGCTTGGCACTCTTTGCTGGGAACATTGGTATATACAATGCTTGGACAAAGCGACAAAGGATATTTTGAAGATGGAAAATTATTTTAAAATATTTTTCATTTTAATTTCTCAAGCAGAGGGACACTTTAAAAATTTAGTTTTTTGTAAATTTAAAAATTCGTATTCATCTCATGTATTTTAGTTGACTTTCTCCCCTTTTGCTCAATTCACTTACAGAGCACTTCAGCTGTAGAATTGATTTCGTCGTTGAACTAACTGCGTACATTTTTCGTTTCTTCGAGAGATATTCGTGCTTGCATTTCACTCAAAACTGAAATGCCATAACACACTGGCCAGGAAAAAAAATTCCATTACTGATTCCATTGAGGCAGAGTTCAACGAAGCTGTAAAAAAGAGTGGCAAGCAGAGCCAGTACCCTTTAACCGTCCACCCGTGAATACTATCCATTAAAAACCCCATTTCGGCCTCAGTCCATAACCGAAAGAAATGGTATCCATGATGAACCCCAAATTCCGGCTCTTTTATTACCGAAGCAAAAACAAGGAGAGATCGATATGTTACTCTATTTTAACCCCTGTGTGCCTCAAAGGGTCGGTCACCCGAAAAGAAATATTTTCGAAATTCAAAAGCGGAATTGTACAAGTTTCAGCTTTGAAACGATCACCCCGGAAAAAAAATTCATGTACCTATTCAAGTCGCGTTATTCCGGTACTGTTCAGGAAGATCTTCTTCAACAAAAGCCGAGAGGGTTCCCGAGGGGAATCGGTGAATTACAAACGTTATTTTATCGTTGACAAGATTTGACAAGCAGCAATAAATCTCCGGAGTGACTCGCGTCAACGTCCGGCAGAAGCAAATCAGTACCGTCAAGGACCTGAACCGACAGGAACACACACAAAAAAAAGGGGGAGAAGTACTCGTCGACGAACTCCATCACGGATCAGGAATCGCGTGACGAAGACTTTTCTGAAGATGACGTAACTGGATGCAACAGGAAAGACATTCTTGCACTGGTCCGTTCGTTCCATCCTCGTTCATTCTTCACGGACAGCGACTTCTCATGAGCCAGAACATCTTGCTCGGGTGTCGAAATTTTACTTTTTTCATTCATTTATTTAGCCGAAATCCTAGTGATGGGAACACCCCCTTCTCGTTTCAGATTTCAAAACGCTCAGAATCACGCGTGATTTCATAGCTCATTTTACATGTCAGGTGAGACGTTTTCAATGGTCCGAGGCATGATCTACAAATTTTTGAAGGCCATAGAATCTCTTTTTGCAGACATATTGGAGGTTGCTGTGGAGAGAAAACCTCAAAACTCAGTCAAAGTTTTATTTTTTATTTCCAAGCATTTATTTTATTAAAAATTAGTCTTCATATAACCTTCATTGGGAAAAAACATGACTCCATTCTTTATTCCTGCTTTAACTTTGCATGCTAAATACCTGTGTTTAAATTTTGAAAAAGTGAAGAAATTTCTTATATTTAATTATATATTAGCGTTTTTGGTGCTCCTTGTGAACTGTGTCATTTCGTATTACACAATGAATAATTCTTAAACATTACGAACATATATTTAAGGTTTTATTTCGAATATATGATATTGGCTGCAACTACAATATTCGTTCCACAGCATCTTTATCATCTCTGCTTTTGAAATGTGCTCTTGATGCCCATCAAAAGAATTGTTTTAATCGTCAACATTTTATCGCATCTGCCCTTTTCTTGAATCCGATGAAAATATTTTTGGCCCACCCAAGTTGAAGACGAGAGAGCAGAAATAGAGCTTTTGTGTGTTTGCAATATCCGTGAGCAGAGGTCATGCGAGAGCAGGGTCACATGTTAAAAAAAATGCCGAGGCTGAGAAAACGCCGGCGAGAGGAAATGCCCGGGAAGGATATCCAGGATTTTTGTTTCACCCGTTTAAAAATACTTGGAAATTATTTTTTAAACCGTTTCTTTATCCAAGTTGGCATGGTTTAGTCCTCATTGTCATTTTCTTTCGCCGACATTTTCTCCACTGTAACATTTTTTGTCCGCTTTCTTTCCAAGGGTTCTATTCTGACGAAAAACAAAGAAGGCATCCACACGTTTTGCATTGGGTAATTTCTTCAACTTGGCAAAACTTTCATTAAGCAGCACTGACGTGTCTGATGCGAATGAAAGCTTCTATCAGAATTGAAAGAATCCATATATTTTTATTCAGCAACCTAAAATGCATGGAATATTACAAGTTAATCCTATAATGCATGAACACGTGTGCTTGATTCTATCTTCAGTATTATCATGACCTGCTCTGCTTCCCACCTTCCGAATGGTTTCCCTCGGGAAAATTCAGAAAACTTTGCCCTGGGATTGCTTGTGGGCTGAAAATAATTTTTCTGTCAATATCATTTTATTTTGGGATTACAAATGGACAGATGGAACAAGTGTTGTATAGTGAGGATACGATTTAAAGTCAGTTTTAAATTAACTAAGAAGTACAATTTTCATTCAATACGATCCAACATTTTAAATCGCTTAATTCTGGTCTCCTGAAACGGGATTTTTAATCAGGAAATACCAATTAGAATATTTTACATTATTTTGTCATTGATGTTCCTGTGTAATATACAGTAACAAATTTAAGCTCAATGGGAAAAAGATACCCCAAAAGTCTGAGGGATTTGTGCTTGTGTGACCAGGAAGGGAGAAGGGCACATTTCTTCCTTTTGAAGGGGTGAGAAAGAGTCCTGGGATCGAAATAATCTTGATATTCGCGTGTGAGGTGCCTTCTCATGAGAAACGTTTTCCGCTTGATGATACAGTATTTGGAAGTGAAGATATCTCTTCTTTTCGCAAGTCTTCATCAGGGACAATTCCGTTTTCACGTTTTTTTTAGCGCGCATAAATTCAAGAGACTGCTGCATTCCCCCCGATTTCGTCCGACTTTGCCTCACCGGACTTGACTCGGGTTTTGTGACCTCCAGAAAAATGAAAACATGGCAGCATAAAGGAAAAGTCCGAATTAGCCGCCGGATGGGAAAGAACCCTTCACCGCGGAAGGGTTAATGGGACTGCGGAAGGAAAGGCGCTGTTTTTGGCGGTGGGTACAAAGTCCCCCCCTCGGGGAAAGGCCACGGATCTCGGGCTGAAACTGGCAGTCTTATTTCCCAAACAGACCTTCGAAAATCCACGAATTTTCACCTTAAAAATAGCAGCTATATTCGTGAGTCCTGATTTTCTTCACGCATAATTCATCAGAATTTTTTCCTTCGACAAGTTTTTCATAATTTCCATGAATTTATTCCGCCGAAAAGCTCTCGTCGGGTTTCACTGCAACATCAACTTTACGGGTGCTGTATTAGAATACAGTACTTTACACGATGGTTGCTCAACAAGTTTTTGCAGTAGCTCGTGAGGTTAAACTGGGTTCAAAATGTTCAAAACCAATGTGGGAACATTGAACATATTCATAACTAGAGTTGGTTCGTATGCGAAGGGATATAAAAAAATGCAGTTTTTACCGGGATCAATTAATTCGCATTGTTTTTTGGAACGACCCTCGCATTCAACTTCGTCCAAAATTCAATTGTGAAGATGAGTATAGACGCGTTTTATGCGAAAAAAAAGTCAAATCCAGAGCATTCTTATGAGGATTGTTTATTTCTTCGAAAATTGGTGGCATCTGTGACTTTTTGAAAAGACGAAATTAACGGTGGGTGAACCTCATTTTCTCAAATCGTGGGGTACCTATTTCAATCTGATGAGATAAAATTTTAACGTTGGGAAACAATTGATCAATGATTTATCTACGGGGGAAATTATGCATTTCCGTTCGTATTTCTATCCACTTCAAATTGAGACACTTTTTCCTGTTTTAATAGTGCCTCCAGCGGTTTTTTTTCTCGTTTTGGACGCGCTGCTAAATAATTTTTACTTATTCGTCAACTGAAATTACATTCGGAAGCGTGGGTACTTCGTGGTTCTTTTTTTTTGTTCGGTTCTCGCGTGAAAATTCCATGACAAAGTTGCGTCAGCAATTTCTTCACGGTCCGGAAGATCTTCCTGTGAAATGATTGTGTATAGTGGGAGAGAAATAGATCTCAGGTGACGATCTTCACACGTGGAATGGCAATTGCAGCGACGCCTGTCAACTTGAGAAATTCGTTTTATGCGTACCGTGGAAACGGTACACCTCATTAACGGTAACTCGAATATTGACAAAAAGAAGCCCCCCAAAAAAGAAACACAGCGACTCTTAATGGGAACGCAAGAAATTTACGACCGGTTATCAAGTAGCGCGAAAACAACTACCAAAAAAGTATTTTCGTCGTGGGAAAAGCATGGAGAGAAAATACCTGATCTCATGAAAAAGGTATTTATTCTAGATAATCTAGAGAATAACTAGGCTTGCATTCCTAGGATGAATACAGTTGAACCTCTTCGAACATCAAGGGACCATTCAAGTTACGGAGGTTTTGAGTTGTTTTTTTTATTGCAGGAAATTTTGATTGGTTACATTCTTCGCATGGAATGGCTTTTTAAATGAGTTGACAAAATTCTGAACTTTGAGGCAATGGTTTATTTACCAAATTGGTTTTTGACTTTCTTTCAAAACACATCAACTTACTATTGCTTTTCTCCTCCCAGTGTCAAGAAGAAAAAAAGTCAAGCCTCCAGAAAATTCGAATTATGATGGCTCACGAAGGAATGGCTCTATTCAATTGTTTCAGAGGGAATTCAGACAGGGACTTGAAACAAACTCGGGAGGTATTTTGGACTTGAAAGTGTTCGAGTTGTTGAGGTTCAACTGAATAAAGTTTAGGTGAAGAGTAAGAAATTTTTATCCGGTATAGTGATTCATTCGATTGTCAAACCACGTACGGCAACAATTGCGCCACACCATCAGGGACATGAATCAAAACAAGTCGAACATGGAAACATCATCACTAACCTGTCAAAGACGTTGCTCAGCAATGGCTCGACGCCACGGTTTTTCCAGAATTCAGTTCGCCGACGAGAACTGTATAAAAAGTTTTGAATACCGCGAAATTGAAAAAAAATCACAAACGCACAAAAAACCCGGAGACAATCGTGCGAGATCGTCAGCAATCAAGTTCACTGAACTCCCAAGTTTCACCGACAAGGTTCTCTTATTATCTCGGAACGGGTTTTTTTTGAGTCGGGATTCGAACAATTCTCACAAACCAGTTGTCGCCAGTTTGTGAAAAGTCATCAGTTTCTGCGAATCTAAGATCGACACTGACCACTTTCAGCAAGCGAACGTCGAAATTCGTCCTGAGAAAAGAAGTTTCTGTTAACTCAGTATTGTCGAAAAAAGTTTCGCGAGATTTTCGAAATTCCGAGGTTTCAATTCGAAAGCTGAGTAATAGTTTTGCATTTTCCCCAATAAAATACAGGAAGAAAGGGTAAATTATCCTCGATGTACTGAAATTGATCAAGTGACTCAATTCTTAAATTGAACTAATTGCGTAACTTATAAAAATTGGCAATTTTGCATATTAAATTTCAGTGTTAATTATCCGGTTACAATTCTCCAGTTTCTGTTAACTCAGTATTGTCGCAAAAAGTTTCGCGAGGTTTTCGAAATTCCAAAGTTTCAATTCGAGAGTGACAATTTTGCATTTGCACCAATAAAACACAGGAATAAAAGTGTAAATTATCCTCGATCTACTGAAATTGATCAAGTGAATTAATTCATAAATTGAACTAAATTGCGTAACTTATACAAATTAGCAATTTTGCATATTAAATTTCAGTGCTGATTCTCCGGTTACACTATTACGACCTTCTCGACATTGAAAACACTTAGGTAAGAAGACCAGCAAACTTTTTGTTTCCACCAAATGCTGCGAAAATCTCGGTAAACACTGAACAAAAAATGAAGGGATAGCAAGAGTATCAATAAAAATTTTACTTCGTGGAATTCGATCAATATAATACACTTACGCAATTCTGCACAATCGAAAATTCTGGTTGAAAATTTTTAGACTATATAACGCGGCCACAATGTCTGACTATTAAAATTTTCCGAGGACGTTTCCGCGGAACCGTGTCTAAATGAAAACAATTAACGCAAATGAATAACACAATACCATAATAACATCTGAATTAAAAATATGTCATACATCGCACAACATTTTGATCGTAATAAACTCAATTCAACCACTAGAACAAATTTGTTCTCACAGCAAATGGATCACTAACCATAAAATTGCAGAAAATGCGCGCATGATTTAAATATTTTGTGACACAAAAAAAAAAAATGCTGTGCCTCGTTCTCACCTCAAAGCCACCGTCGCTGCGACGAGTCGGCGCGAAATGAGCGTATTTTCCAAACGTACGCGCCGCGTAATGCGAGGCGGGCCTTTTCTCTTTTTCAACGACGCTTCCATCTCCAGGTGTCTGCCATGCTGGCGGCCGAATAGAAAAGCAGTCGTGCATGGATTAATGTCTCTCTCGACGATGGCACGCTTCTGGTACGTAGGGCACATGACAATTGATGCACTGAATATTGTCTGTGAAAGGAAAAATCATCAGAAAGCATTTTACTCTTGTGTACATAAATTAAATAGAAAGCATGCAAGGCATTCATCAGTTGACAGATTTTCAAGTTTTCAATGGCCTTTTGGATATCAATTTACTGCTAAAGTAACAAACTCTTGTCGTAAGTTATCATGACTAACCATGACAAAAGTGTAGTCCCAGCGTCAACAATGAAAATGGGCTGCAAAATACAGTACAATCTTGTTACAAGAAATAGCATGACCGATATCACCCCACAATTTGACCTGAATGTGTTGCTGGACTATAGGGTCATATCGTGAAATGGTCAAATTTTGAGATAAGATCAAATGCAACATTTTCTAAATGGTATTTGACATTTTGCTTCTCATTGTGGGTTGAATTATGGGGCAGAGATCAAACTTTGAGTCAACCTCCCCTAAAATTTGACCAATAAATTTTGGGATGGACGAGTTGTGTGGTGGTCCCATTTCAATAAGTACCACCTGAACAATACATTTTTCAGTATAGAACCTATTTTCTTGAGCTCTGTGAGAAAATTTACCGAATAATTGTTTTTAAAAATCTTGCTATGACAAACTTCACAATTCCATTATAACAAACTTCTTTTTAGGAATGTGTAGTAAATCCTGAGGGTAAACATTTCCTGAATCCTGAGTTCCTGACTAAGTCAGGCACAGTCTTATATTTTCTATTCCAAATGTGACTGACTAATTTTTTTTGCTTGGATGGAATCGGTGATCAATGAAAAAAAAAATGTTTCCAAGTGGTTCCACACATCATCCTCTCAAAATGAAAAGATTGGTTCAATTTATTGATTAAAAGCGTGATTGAAATCTATATTGTTTTAGAAGATCAATCACTTCAAAAAATTAAATATCTGAGAATGCTAGAAAAGCAAGGTATAGTTTGATTACAAGCAGGTGTGACGTGGTAATTTTCTAAAGTCAGTAATCATGAAAATATAGCTATAAAAAAGTCTAATGTATAACAATTTCCCCAATTTTTTTACAAGACTGAACTGTAGCAAGTTTTGGATGGCAAACAATTGATGAATCAGAAGAAAGAATGAAAGGGATGTCAATGGAAGCACACTATAAACTTGGAAGTTCTGTAACATGTGTAACCATTGTTTTTTTTAAATATTTGAGTTGGAAAAACCTCATCTATGATTGACATTTACTCTGCAAATTTCAGTGCTAAGAAATTCTTCCAAATTATCTGAAAAAATACTTTTTGAAAGCAATTTTCGAGTCTTCCCAGCTGCAGACTCATTTGAGAGAAAATCCTCACAATTTTTTTTCATTCAAATTTATGTTTCCATCCCACAGACTTGGAACCATCAGTGAACATTCAATGATGAAAGATAAAAGATGAGCTCAATTCGGTTCAACTCCTGCTTTTTGCAGGACCGCCAGAATGGTGATGTTGTAACAAGGACGCATGCACTTATCAGTTATCACTGATCTGATTCTTCCTCCCCTTTCCTCCTCTACTTGTTTCTGAGTTCTTTCTATTCCCTTGGGGTTCGACTTTGTTTCTGACCCGGTTGTCTTTAGATCCATGCAAACCGGTCCTGGTCCTCTTGAACCTTGGTTCGATTCGAAACTTGTTACAAGTTTCTTGAATTGCATTTCAAAGGCTAGGCTCATTTTCATTTCATTAAAAATGCGGATCTACATTCAATGCTGCTTCTATCAATGAAATTTTGCTGATAGAAATGGGGCCCATCTTTTTCACGGTTCTAGGTTTTGATTGCTTGAAGTCGATTTTGAATTTTTTTAAAATTTTGAACGTACTGGAACTTTTTCTGAGACAGATCATGCCTAAAACGGAATAACGCGTTGGATTCTTGAAGTGCGATTGCAAAATATGAGATCATTCGAATTTTTTGTGCGAGTTTAACGTGTAAAATAATTGGAAGAAGTTTAACACGACAAGTGTTCCAGCGGTTATCCCGACTTTCCCACATTCCGACACTATAATGAACCAAAAAAAAAAAGCGTTTAGTCGTGAAAGGGAAACCTGATGATTATCATTCATTAAACGGCTAATTTCAGGCGTCCCGCTTTTTTCTTCCCCTCAGCAACGAGTTCACGAGAATTCTCTCTAATAATCTCCGAAATGATCAGATTGAAATTGAGATTCTTGCGGTCGTCTCCTTTCATTAGCGGAAGAAAATTTGCATACACGCAGGAAGTGTGCCTCGATAATCAACCAGTCTCATTTTCGGAAGTGGTTTGAATTGCGGAATGCGTTGCACAATTGCTGCGATGAATTCTCTCGATGAGATTTCGCGCGAATGAGATTGCGTGAATGTGTAAGACTTTATAATGGGACTTCCGACACCAGGGAAATTTACGGTCTTCTACAGCGAGGTATGAAAAATCGGTAGCACCGGTGATTTCCGCTTGAAATGTCAGCACTTTCACACGTTCATGTCCCGAAGTTTCGTCTTAGTCCTCATGTACTGGGTAACTTATTGCTTTCGTCTATCGCCTTTTGCGTGTGTCACGTGACGGAGAAAAATGCACTTGCCCTTGAGTCCACCGCAAAAGGATTTTGCGATGGAAATTTAACTCCGCGGGTTTTAGCGGAATAAGTTAGATTTCGAAAGAAACAGTTGTTTGAATCATGATTACTGAGTGCCAGAAACACTTGACACGTTGTATTCAGATGAGAATGTAAACATGTTCTTGATGATGAGCAAAACTGTAATACAATGGCTTAAATAATCACGGATGGATGACAAAAAATATTATTCAAATGAATTGAATCAGCTTCTGGGACGCAAAACGGAAATCATGATTAAAAGAGACCCAAGAAGTTGGTTTCTTTCAGAAATCTTGTCTTACTCCGTCACGAGTAAAATTATTTTCACAGAGCGAATAATTCCAAGAGTCAATCGATTCAACGAAAATGGGTGGCTTCTGCACTTTCTGGTGATGTACAAAAAGTTTCTTTCGATTTATAAATTGCATGTGCCAACTTCCATGGATTTGAATCTTGAAAGTAACTTGCTGCCCTGAAACAAATTTCATTAAGCTTTGACCATTGATTTCTATGCAAATATGTCTCTGGCGATGCTTATTCCTTCCCATTTTCACAAAATAAAAATCAAGGAAATGAAAAAAACAGGTAAATCTGCATTTCTCACGGCACAATTGAGTGCTTATTAAACATAATTGAGGAATTTTTGATAATTTGCATCTCGTGGTTAGCTACAGGATCTCTGAGCTCTGTGAATTGAAGTTTCTACGTATTACAGTAGTATCACGTGAAAACTTCGGAAATGTTCTGTGACGGAAATATCCACGTATTTTTTTTATTTGTCTGTTTAGCATTACATGAAATAAGGGGTTTCGAATCGAGCAAAATTCGAATCTTTGCTAATAATGGTTTTCAGAGTTTAAGCACAAAAAAAGAAACAGCTTAGCGTATACTTTTTCATTCAATAGGAAAGTGATAAAAATTGTTTGTCTATTAATTATAGATATAACTGGTTCGTCGCTCAGTTTTCCCAGGCACTGAGATGTCCCTCCGCTCAGTTGGGCATTCCGGTCACTTGACCAAACAATGCAGATTCTTAAAATAAGTACGATGCAGTAATACTAAGACCTGGAATGGGTTTCCCAAGTCAGTCGGCATTTTCTTGGCGTGGAATCTCGATGCTGAGCCCATCAAGGAGGCCTTGATTTGCGTATGATTCGTTTTAGTCACACCACCAGATACTATGATAGGAGTAATTTAAATTGCCTTGCTGCTTGATTAATCTAATTCTTACTGGTAAAACCTTACATCCACCGCAAAAGGATTTTGCGATGGAAATTCCGCGGGTTTTAGCGGAATGAGTTAGATTTCGAAAGAATATGGGAGCAGTTGTTTGAATCACGATTATACTGAGTGCCAGAAACACTTGACAGGTTGTATTCAGATGATAATGTAAACATGCTCTTGATGATGAGCAAAACTGTAATACAATGGCTTAAATAATCACGGATGGATGACAAAAAATATGATTCAAATGAATTGAATAAACGGAAAACGGAAATCATGATTAAAAGAGACCCAAGAAGTTGGTTTCTTTCAGAAATCTTGTCTTACTCCGTGATACGAGTAAAATTATTTTCACAGAGCGAATAATTCCAAAAGTCAATCGATTCAACAAAAATGGGTGGCTTCTGGTGATGTACAAATAGTTTCCTTCGATTTATAAATTGCATGTGCCAACTTCTATGGATTTGAATCTTAAAAGTCACTTGCTGCCCTGAAAATATTTCATTAAGGTTGGACCATTGATTTCTATTCAAATATGTCTCTGGCGATGCTTATTCCTTCCCATTTCCCGAAATAAAAATCAAGGAAATGAAAAAAACAGGTAAATCTGCATTTCTCACGGCACAATTGAGTGCTTATTAAACATAATTAAGGCATTTTCGATCATTTGCATCTCGTGGTTAGCTACAGGATCTCTTTGAGCTCTGTGAATTAAAGTTTCTATGTATTACAGCGGTATCACGTGAAAACTTCGGAAATTTTGTGTGACAGAAGCATCCACGTATTTTTTTATTTGTCTGTTTTGCATTACATAAAGGGGTTTCGAATCGAGCAAAATTCGAATCTTCGCTAATAATGGTTTTCGGAGTTTAAGCACAAAAAAAAGAAACACCTTAACGTATACTTTTTTCATTCAATAGGAAAGGTGAGAGAAATTGTTTGTCCATTAAGTAGATATAACTGGTTCGTCGCTCAGTTTTCCCAGGCACTGAGATGTCCCTCCGCTCAGTTGGGCATTCCGGTCACTTGACCAAACGATGTAGATTCTTAAAATAAGTACGATGCAGTAATACTAAGACCTGGAATGGGTTTCCTTTCAGTCAGCCGTAAAAGAACCGCACCTTAGAGCTACGACTCGGGTAGTTCCTCCGGAACTAAACGCATACTAAGCAAAATCAGTGTGGTGGTCTAT